CGGTCGAAAGACCGCGCCAGACCATTCCATAGGGGTGCACTGCGAATTCAAAAACGATGTCAGGTCACGGGCGGTTGAAGAGCAACCGCACCTCAGGCACTGGGAGAAATCCCCACACAGCAAGGGGCATTCATGAGAAGACTTCACCGCCGCAGCGCGGAGGAGCTGGCGGGCCGTTCTCCGAACCGTCTCCTTAGGGGGGCGGGGAGGGCGTCCGCCCTCACGCTCCAAAACATCTGACATCACAGCAAGCAAATGATTTTGCACCTTCCGAGCTAACCCATCAGCGAACCTGACGGGAGCCGAGACAGCGTAAGGAACCTTAACCTGCTGGGCGAAGTGGCTCGCAACATCATCGGCCACCGCATTTGCCAGCACGACGCCAGGATTTAGTCCACGGCGCACGGCTTCCTCAACCTTGAGGTGGCTCGGAATCTGAATGAGAACCACATCCCCAAGACGATCCAGAGCGCTCAGGACACGCCTCCAGAGATCAACGTGGGTCTGAATTCGCTGCAAAAGGCCAGCCTGGATGCGAGCAAATCCCCTCGCAACATAGGCCGAGTCCGCGACGTATCCAAGACACGCCTGGGGGTGAGCTCCTTCCAAAAAAGCCAAAAGGGCCCAGAGCTCACCACGATTCACAGACTGCTTGCCAGAGATCCCGCCCCCTTGGATAAACTGAATGTCGGCATCCGACACCTGTGGGGGCAGGGTTAGAACATCATGGCCAAAAACCGCGACGCCCCATGACACCCGCCTGAGACGCTTATCCTTCGTGAACTCCCCACCACTCGCATCCCCCGCGCCCCAGATGCGAGTTCCCCCCCGAGGCCCAGGAAACACACCAGCGGCACGGAGGATGGGGTCGTCGGGAGGCGGAGGGACGGCCGTCCACTCACGGGGCACGAGACCGCGAAGCCAGAAACATGGGAAATCGGCAGCCACAGAGGCTGCCTTACGCGCGAACCCATCGTCCACTTCCTGAAATTCACTGTTGCACGGGCATTCCCAGAACCGGTGGACGTCCGTTTCGGGGGCCGAGTTGCAACGGGGGCAGGTGAGCTCACACTCTCCCCCAGAAGCCTGAATACGGCCCCTCGTCCAAACGGCCCCAGTAAGGACAGCCCTAAGCAAGCCAGCCTTCTGAGGCGACTTCCTACGCAAGGACGCAAGGTGCCGCCAAGCAATCGTGAGGTCGACGCCTGATGCAAGACCCCCTCCATTGCGGAACTCGGCGGCAGCAGACCATAAACGTGCCTCAATGCTACGGTCCACTTCCTTTTTGAAATCCGACGTCATATAAGCCTGGGAGCGAAGCTCATCGGGAACAGCGAAGACATCACCCCCAGGAGCGACCCAAGACCAAGGCCCATCGAGCTTCCATCCCGAGGCCGTCATGGTAGCGACCACAGCAGACACAGGTCCTTTTATATTATGCCACCTGCGCTGGGGGCCCAAGCTATCGATCCTCTCGACCGTGGCAGACCAACAGGCACGCATGCGGTCCACTCCTTTTTCAGGCAACGCAGCAACAATCTGAAACCAGGACTCCAGAAGCTGAAACACCGTGGTGAAAGCAGGGTCCTTTTGTTGAACTTCCAAGGCCAGCAGGGTCGTGAGACATCGCCCCGCCAAGCCTCGAGTTAAGTTGCTGGCTAAGGCCCGTCGCCATTTCTGGAGGACCGAGGGCGCGACCCCAAAAACCTTCCAGGCGTAGGACGCCTGCGGCAAAGCCCCAGTGAGGATCAAACGCGCCCCGATGGAGCGAGGAGGAGGAGGAGGAGGAGGAGGAGGAGGAGGAGGAGGAGGAGGAGGAGGAGGGGGAGAGGCCGCCGCCGGCGCTCCGCGTCGAACGCCGGCGGCGGGGTCGCCGCCGGCCGAGACGGCGCGAGCCTGCCGAAGACGTCGACCGGGCCCTGCCTGCTCAGCTCGGCGACGCGCCCAGGGGGGAGAGCGAGAGTGGGGCAGACCGCCGAGCAGGAACTTCCCTGCTCCTCCTCCCCCTCCTCCTCCTCCTCCTCTCTCCTCCTTCCTCTCCTCTCTTCCCTTCTCCATCTGCTTCTTCTCGCCTTTCTCCTCCTGCTCCTTCTTCCTCCACCTCGTCCTCCTCCTCCTCCTCCTCCTCCTCCTCCTCCTCATCATCATCATCATCATCATTCCCTCCTCCCCCTCCACCCTTCCACCTCCTCCTCAAGCCCTGTAACGGAAGGCGGCGGGGCTTCGCAGAAGCCCCCGGGCCTTCCGAGCAGCCCTCGGCGGCCTCGGCGAGAGCTCGGAAAGCTTCCCAGAGGCCCGAGGCCCTCTGAGGCTTCCGAGAAGGCCCACCCCTTCTGTTGCTCCCATCGTACCTAAGGACCACATCCCGAAAATGATTTCGAGCACCCGGAAGAGTGTCGAAAGAGTGTCGAACAAAAAATCGAGACAGTGTCGGGCGAGTGTCTCCCAGGGCCCGGCGCGTGAAAACCCTCGAGACTCGGCACTTTTCCGGCGCTCGAAATTCTTTCTGGTGGTGAAGGCTTAAGTAGGCTAGAACATCATAACCCGCCCCCTCGCCATCGCTCGGACGTCCATTCCCTGTGTTTTTGTTTTTCGGTTTCGTGCGTGTTTTTTTCGCCAAACGATCCAGGATGCTCCTCGATGGTCCTCGCTGAAGGAAAAATGCACGATGCCAAGCCTGCTCTGACTTGTCCCCTCGGCGCACCGCCGATCAAGGAGCCCACCTTGCTGGAACGACGTCTCGTGTCCCCTCGGTCCGTCCCCGTCGCTGCACGGGGCAGAAGAGGGCCCGCGCAAGTGCAGCATCAGAAGCTGCGGCGTGCCATGACATCACCGAAATCGCGCCATCCGTTGGCTGCCTCTCCTGGGATGGCATGTTTCGAGCTAGTGTACGGCGTGGAGAAAGAGAGAGAGAGAGAGAGATAGAGAGAGAGAGAGAAACAAAAAAAAAAAAAAAAAAAACATATAGATAGAAAGAGAGAGAGAGAGAGAGACATCACCCAAACTCCGACGTCGCGAGGTTCCAAAAACGCGGGCTCCTGGAAGTCTGGACCCCTTCCCCGGCACCGTCTTTTGATCCCAGGTCGCCTTTTGACGGCCAGGGGCCCCGCAAGGGTCCCAGGAGGCCATGCACAGTAGGAGCTCGACCACAAGAAACCTTCCACAAGAAACCCAGCCCTGAGACCCCAGAACTAGGGGAACAAAAAGTGGCATAAACGTAAAAACTCGGAGGTCCGCGCGGATTCCTCGGATCGGCGCTGGGGCCCCCCGGCGGCGCCTCCGGCGCAGCCCCTGGCGTGCTCCGCGCGCCAGGGAGGGGGGTCCAGCGCCGATCCGAGAAATCCGCGCGGACCTCCGAGTTTTCATGTTTATGAAAATTGTTGTTCCCCTGAGAACGTTCCTGGATCTTTGGTGTGGGAACGTCACGCTCTCCATGGCAGAACCATCGAAGCCCAGGAAACCCAGGGCACTTTGGAGGCAAGCAGGGCGTTCCCGAACAGCGTCCCGTCGTGACCTCCTTCACGACGCGAGGATTGGCGGCGAGCGAGGGGGGGAAAAGAGCAGGAGAAGGCCCTCTCCAGGGCGGCGGGACTTCTCAGACGCCCTCGCGCCTTCTGAGACCGTGTGGTTGTCCTCGGGGAAGGCTCAGAACACTTCTCAGAAGGCCAGGGGACTTCTGAGCCTTCTGAGAAGGCCTTCTCCTGCTCAAAGCCCCCCCCCCTGGCGCGCCGCCGAATGTCGGTCGACCTCAGTCCCCCCCTCCCGGAGTCCATCCACCGCGGCTCTTCACCCCGGATCGAGCTCCAGAGGCCCCCGGGCCCGAAAACGGCCACCCTCGAGGCCGAAAAGTGCGAAACCTCGAGCCCCGAACCTCGAACCTCGAGGCTCGAACCTCCAACCTCGAGGCTCGAACCTCGCTCGCCGTCGACGGACCTCGTCCAAGGGTCCCGCCTCGCTCGCGACTGCCCGCCGTGCGTTGAGAGAGGTGCGGGCTGCGGCTGGAGGGGCCCCCCGCGTCCCCTCCGGCCGCCCCCGTCCCCCTCCCTCTGCAGCCCAGGCACAGTGGGGAGGAGAGAGGCAAGAGAGAGAGAGAGATGATAGGCCCACTTTCCACCACCACTACCATATTTTGACCTGACAAAGACCAGCCGCACGCGTACTGGCCAGAGGTTTGAAAAACGCACAGGCCAACGATGGAGACGCTATTCGACCCACAGCCTCGCTTCGCGAGCGGGATAGTCGTCGTCCGAGTCGCTGGCATCGGGGAAACCGACCAGGCTTTCCCACAAGGCTAAATGAGCCTGGGAAACAGGAGGAGGAGGAGGAGGAGGAGGAGGAGGAGGAGGAGGAGGAGGAGGAGGAGGATGGGGAGGCGGAGGAGGGGGAGAATGAGGAGGAGGAAAAGGAAGAGGAGGAGAAGGAGGAGGCGACGTGACGGCTTGGCATCAAGTCGCGGCTCCAGCGGATGCGCGAATGCTGAGGCAATGATCCCAGTGTCGCAATTCCTGCCTCCCCTCTTCCGCCTGAAACAATGGACGTGACGCCTCAGTGTAATCGATCGCTGCGCCGCCTCCTCCGCCACTGCGTGTCTTTCTCCTCCGTTCCGCCCCACCCTTCATCCAGCCCCGCTTCAGCCCACCCTTCGTCCAACCCCGCCACTCCTCCAACCCGCGCCTCATCATTCAACCCGGCTTCATCCCGCCACCTCCTTCTCCTCCGCCGCCTCCTCCACCCCCGACCCCCGACGTCGTGATTTTTTCACAACGTCGACCCCCAGAGGTCTGGACCCTTTCGCCGGGACCGGTTTTGCATTCCGAGTGGTTTTTTCACGGTCCCGAGGCCCGGCGAGGACCTCCGGAGGGCGAGAATAGTCAAAAACCTCCCGTCGTGATTTCTTCACGACGCGAGGGGGTCTGGGACCCCTCCGCGCCCTTCTGCCCCACCACCTCCTCCCACCCCGCCCCCCCAACCGCCGCATCCCGAGGGGGGGAGCCGCGGTCCTGCCACTCTGCCAGCGACCTGTCCCCGGGGTCCTTCCTCGGGCACACCTCTCGACAGAAGGAGGGAGGAGGAGGGAGGAGGAGGAGGAGGAGGAGGGAGGAGGAGGAGGAGGAGGAGGAGGAGGAGGAGGAGGAGGAGGAGGAGGGAGGAGGAGGGGAGGAGGAGGAGGAGGAGGGCGGAGGAGGAGGAGGAGGAGGAGGAGGAAGAGGAGGAGGAGGAGGAGGAGGAGGAGGAGGAGGGGGAGGAGGAGGAGGAGGAGGAGGAGGAGGAGGAGGAGGAGGAGGAGGAGGAGGAGGAGGAGGGAGGAGGAGGAGGAGGAGGAGAGAAAGGGGGAGGAGGGAAGGAGCGTTTGAAGTTTGGCTTGCACGGAAGCCGAGCCGACTCACAGATCTGCCCGGGTGTCCGAGCAGGTCCTGCAGGCAGTAGAGGCTTCCAAGCAGTGGATCACCCGGGAGCGTCCAGTGGCCAGGTGCCTGGCCTGAGTAAAACATGTGGAACTGTCAGGACACTGGGAGAATGGAGCGTGGGGAGAGAGGAGAGAGGATCGAGAAGGTAGGAACGAGGAGGGACGAGGGATGAGGGAGGAAGGAGGAAGATGGTGGTTGGGGTAAAGGAGGAAGGCGGGAGGGACGAGGGAGGCAGGAGGAAGGATGGAGGGAATATGACAGGGGGCAAGGGGCGCGGGTGGAAGTGGATGAAGCGAAGGAGGCGCTGGTGGAGAGAGGGCGGCGAAAACGGCCCAATCCTCATGATTCTGATCGGGTGGAACCGTGAACATAGATCTATATGTATGTGCACTTGGTTCTTCTTATAACAAAATCCCTGGGCGATTTTGTTCTACCGTTTTGCACTCTGGGCTCTTGACAATATTAAAAAGCCATTGTTCAACAAAAACACGACGGTGTGTCAGCGATATTAGCTCCGTTGTTTTGCGTTTTCGGGCCCCTCGCTGTGGACCATCTTTTTTTGTTTCGTTGATTGCTTTCCGGTCAAACGCTATTCCGTGTCTTCCCTGCTGTCTCCACTCCCGCTTTCCCATCTCTGCCGCCGTTCTCCCTCTCGGCACCTTTGAAGGGGCCCTGGGACACACAAATAAATACACACAAATAAAAAGATTTCCCATATTTTCCTATATTTTCTGGGTTTTTGTTTTCCCCACCACTTCCCACATTTTCCCATATTTTCCAGGAAATCGAAAATTAATTGTGTCTGTGTGTTTCTTTCCCTCCTGAACCTTGAAAGGGAAAAAGCACGCTCTGACTCGGTGCTCACACCGGCCCGGTACGGCTGCCCGGAGGCCCGATGGCACCAGGAGGGGCCATCGGCCATCAGGCCCGCCAGACGGCACGCCAGGCGCCAGGAGAATGACTGCGCGCCAGTAGAAGCAACAAAGGACGTCGTGGACGGCAGAGTAGCTGAAAACGCAAACATGCGTCGTTTCTTTCCTTACCTAGGCTCTGCCTAGAAGGGTTCTTACCGTGCAAGCTTAAGGGGCCGGGCATTGCTCCCCGCCCCGGGCGGTTCCCCCAGGATCCGCCCCGCGGTTCGCCCAGTGACGTTCCCTTAGCTTAGCGTTGCTTATCTCATCTTAGCTTAGCTTATTTCATCTCAGCTTAGTTTAGCTTCATCTTAGCTCAGGTTTATTCCCCACCTAGGCTCTGCCTAGAGGGTTCTTACTTTGTTTGCTTAAAGGGGCCGGGCAGTGTAGGCCGCCCCGGGCGGTTCCCCCAGTCCCCGCCCCGCGGTTCCCCCAGTTGCGCCCCCTGGGTTCCCCTAGCTTGGCTTAGCTAAGCTTAGCTTAGCTTTGCTTAGCTTATCTCATCTCAGCTTAGCTTAGTTTTGCCTAGCCGAGCTTAGCTTAGCTGCTGTCATCTTAGCTTAGCTTAGTTTAGCTTAGCTCAGCTTCGCTTAGCTTGGCTTGGCTTAGCTTAGCCTAACCTAGCCTAGTTTAGCTTAGCATAGCTTAGCTTACCTTAGCTTAGCGCAGAATTAGCATGGCATAGCCTGGCATGACATAGCCAAGCATAGCCAAGCATAGCATAGCATAGCATAGCATAGCATAGCCCAGCATAGCATAGCACAGCATAGCGCAGCACAGCGTAGCAGAGCAGAGCATAGCATTGCTTAGCATAGCACAGCGCAGCATAGCATAGCATAGCACATCATAGCATATACTAGCATAGCGCAGCATATCATAGTATAACATAACATAGCATAGCGCAACATAGCATATCATAGCATAGCCTTGCCTAGCATAGCATAGCGCAGCATATCATAGCATAGAGCATCATAGCATAGCATAGCATAGCGCAGTATCGCATATCATAGTATTGCATAGCATAACACAGCGCAGCCGAGCGTACCCTATCATAGCATAGCATAGCATAGCGCATGTAGATGTAGATGCAGGTGTAGATGTACATGTAGCTGTCGGTGTAGATGTATATGTTGCTTTCCTAAATGCTCCAACTCCTAGGTAGGGTCGCACTGGGATAATTGGTTGTTCAATTTTCCTGTTGGGGCCGAGCAGCGCTAAATTAATGAGTTTCAACACGCCGAATTAAAAACGGTAAAACAAAACCTGGGCAGATTTCAGAATAACCAAGTCTACTGATAGTTGATATATCCAGATTGCGCAGAATGGTATCGTAGATGTCGCGCCATCCTCTTCTGCCGGTGCAGAATGCCCTGAACGCAAAAGGTACAAGCTGAAAGCAGTGAAACACAACGTGTGTGATTCATGCCCAGACCGGTGCTTGCAACCAAAAGGCTCCTACTTGTTCGGCTACGGGCTGGAACTTCCAATATCTCCGACCGATTAACGCACGTTTTGGAGTCCCGAAACGGTGCGGTGACAGACCGTGCGGTGACCTCGAACTCCCCCAAGACCTCACCGCACGGTCCGTCACCGCATGGTCTTGGGACCCCAGAGGCCCCAGTCGCCCGAGACGTCGTCGGAGAACGACCCGAGTCCCAAAACCGTGCGGTGACCCCGAATCCCCACCGACTCACCACACGGTGTGCTCACCACTGAGTATCGTTTATCCGATCCCCATCCCCAGCGGCGTGGCCTGGGCCCCACTGGCCGATTAACCCCCATAGATGGGGATATAGGCCGTCCCGTTGGGGGTTCGAGGGGCGTGTCCCCAACTGCGGTGGTAATTTGGTGGGGGTCTCAAATGACGGACGAACAACACACATCCATACCCATAGGTGGGTCGCTGGGAGGAGGACTGGCTATGGGTATGGGTGCGGGTTCTCGGACCCTGGGGAACGCTCCCGTTCGACCGGGGACCCCCATCCGACAACACGCACCCATGGCCCTCTCCGCCCCCCCTATGGGTATGGGTGTGTCTTGTTGGTTCGTCATCGATTTGGACGCCCGAAATGGGTACGGAAACAATGGGTACAATGCCCAACAACAAATGTTGCCCCAAACCAACAGCGGCCGCTGTTGGGCAGGCGGCCTTCTGTCTCGAATGGACACAGGCCGCGGCGGCGTGGACAGCGAGTCTTTTTCACAATGAGCAGGAACTGCTGTTGGACATTGTACCCATTCTTTCCGTACCCATCTCGTTCGTGCAGAATCGAAGGGGATGGGGATGGGGATGGGTTAAACGATGCCAAATTTGGGGCCCCCCGACACGTGCGCCCCCTTGGCGCCTCGTGGGCCAGCCGGCAGAGCAGCTCGGGGCCTCTGGCTGGTGGACTCCCGTGTGCGTGCCTCGTGCGCCGGCGCCCTGGCGCATCCGGAGGCGCCCCAAGCCCCCGCAGCCCGCAGCCCCAGAGACCTCGCACGGGGGACGAGTCTCGCTTCGTCGGCGCGCCCCGCTCTTGGGGTGGGGAGGAGGGAGGAAGAGGGAGGAGGGAGGAGGGAAGAGGGAGGAGGGAGGAGGGAGGAGGAGGATGAGGAGGAGGAGGACGACGAGGAGGAGGAAAAGGAGGCGGAGGAGGCGGAGGAGGAGGAGAAAGAGGAGGAGGAGGGAGGACGAGGAGCTTGCACAACATTCCCAGACCTCCTCGCGCTGCGACAAAAATCGCGACGGGAGGTTGTTCGCTACTTTCGGCCTCTGGGCGCCCTTCCCGGGCCTTGGGGCCCTCAAGAAGAAAACTCCGGATGGAAAGCTGGTCCTGGGGAGAGGCTCCCGGACCTCCGGGGGTCGACGCTGTGAACGAAACGCGACGTCCGGGGGTCTGGGCTGGTTGCACCGCTGCACCCCGCCTCGTGATTTGCCTGCTTTTGGGGGGGAGGTGTCGAGCTCGACCCCCCTGCCGCGGACGGCCTTCACGGTTTGCGGATCGGCTGTGCGCGCATGTGCTGCCAGACCGCTCGTGTCCAGTGACAAAACAAAACGTGGGAACCCAGCCAGTCTCTTTATCGATCCCACGCAGTGCTGTCAAACAGTGCGATGCGAAGCGCACGCTTTTGACCTTACAGATGCACGTCACATCTTTTTGGAAGGCAGCGACACCATGCGGTTGCTGAGCGAGTTGAAACACAAAAGCTATCAACAACCACTGGATGCTCTAATGGAACACGCAAGATTTCCGTACCCGCGCTCGACCAATCATAAGAAGTCGTACCATGTGCGACTATTGCCTGTCTATCCCATGATACCAGAATCATTTGATACACGCGCGCGCATTTCGAAATCATTCAACAACCATCGCGCGCCTGCCAACGTGGTGAACTAATACAATGCGAGCCGCATGCCGCGCTCGCGTGTCACAGCCATCGCAAAACCATTGGTTGTTCTACAATCGCAAAAACTATGTGTTCAAAACATACGTCAACCATTTTTCTCAAAACCGAACCGGAGGCGGTTGAACCGAACCGGGCCCGAACCGGGAACCAGTCGTGGAGGTGGACCTTTGGGAACTGCCCGATGCGAGTGCCCACTCTTGCGCTGGGTCCATCCCACCCGCTCCCAACTCCTCCCTTGCGCCCCCGAGTTCCCTCATGCTGTTTTGCTGCTTGTCCAGGGCCGACCTGGGGACGGAAGGGCGGCGGAAAAGCTCAAATCGCATTTTTGGACAGTTCAAAATGCGTTTTGGGTCTCCAGGTGGTCTTCGGAGCCTCCAAGGCTGCTCTGGGGATGGCAGGGCGGCGGAAAGCTCAAATCGCACTTTTGGATGGTTTGAAATGCGTTTCGGGCCCCCAAATGGTTTTCGGAGCCTCCAGGGCTGCGCTGGGGACGGAAAGGCAGCGGAAAAACTCAAATCGCATTTTTGGGCGGTTCGAAAATGCGCTTTGGGCTTCCAGGGGCCCTCAGGGCCTCCAGGGCCGAAATGGGGACGGCGGCCGGGGCTGGGCCCCCGCCATCCTGCGCGCGCCCGGCCAAGGCGCGGGCGGCGCCCTTGCTTTCCCAGTTGTCCTTTGGGATGACCCATGCCAGGAGTGAGTGGTCCGCGCTGTCCGAGACCGTAGTCCAAGCGTTTTCTATCCTGGCGCTGAGGAACCGCCCGCTGTCGCCGGAGCCCCCTGGTCCAGGGGGCGCGATGCTGTCGACTGGTCCGTCGAGGGCACCATGCGTAACGTCCGGGCCCAGTGGCTCCAGTGGCTCGTCGGGTAGCTGGGCCCCGTGGCTCCCCTGGCCCCAGGGTTCTTCCTGACTCCTGGTTGAACTGAACCTCCACGGGCCCCCATATGACCATGTAGACGCACGCGCGCACGCGTCATCTGCAAGAACCGAGAACCGAAATTGAACAGGCTGAAACGGAGCCGCCCTCAGAATGGGAACCGCCTCGAACAGCTCCGAAACCGGAACCTTACTGACCCGAACAAATTGCCCCCGATCCGACACGAACCGAACGGAACTGGGGGCACGCTGTCATTAGTCGTCGTCGTCCTCCTCACCATCACCATCAACATCATCATCATCACCATCATTATCATTATCAGCACCGTCGTCGTCGTTGAAATCGTCGTCGCCATCACTATCATTACTCACGCTCCTGAATAATGGATCTACATGATTAGGGTCTGCGGTTCGCTGGGCCTGCTAGGTTGGCAAGCAGGTCCAGTGGTCAACTGCACTCACAGCCTCATGATATTTCCCAACACACTGCGGGCGGCTGGACAGGATGCTTGCTCGAGTATAGGAGGTGGTCACGCGCAAATGCCGGCGCTCAATCACATCGCACACTTCAGTTGCGCCGCCCAGGTTGCACCCCACTTCCTGCGCCACATCGACTACACCCCATCACATGCACTGCTGAGCTTGGAACACATAGATGGTTCCATATGGAGTGCACATCGAGTGGTCGCCCACTGCTCGGGGTCCACGCTGGCAAGGTTTCTTCGGGTGGGAACACATGGCCCAGGCCCCCGGTATCATGATCTTTCCGTAGCTCACTCACTCACTCAATCATGCCACACGCCGAAGCGCGCGGGCGGAAACAAGGAACGGCCAGCCAATCCCCACCGTTTTGCGGGGGCGGCGGCACGGCACGTCGACGGTCGCATGATTTGCAACATGCGGAGGGGGAGGGGGAGGAGGAGGAGGAGGAGGAGGAGGGGGAGGGGGAGGAGGAGAAGGAGAAAGGAGCGAGGACAACCAACAAGCGGCTGATACGAATTCCGCCTGGAACGCACCAGGCCGGAGGCTGCAGCCAACCTGTGAAGAAGCGCAGGCAGAATAACGCAGAGAGCAGCTCAAAGATGCCCCCCGGCATCGCCGCACTGTTGTGCGTGGAGCTTTACGCAGGCATCCCGCTGCACCGGGTCCTGAACGCACTGGTAAAGCAAAGCGTGCGAACTGAAACTCGCTGAAATCATTCGGTACAGCCCAACTGCCCGCTCACGCTGCGGTCGCCCACGCCTCCGTCTGAGCGCGTCCGTTGCAGAGGGCACAGCGTCAGGCTGAAAAGAAGCACGTCTCAGGAAGTCCTGGTCCGAAGCCTTTTCTTATGTTCCCATGCAGTGCGAGCTGTTGCCGCAGAAGCTGGGCGCTGCAAGGTCCCTGCCGCGCCTGCTGCAACGCGGCCTCATGTGACGCGCGCGACAAAAACGAAGGCGGGACGTGCAAAACTCTTCTGAGGCACTCGGCTTGGAATCCATCCAGCCTCCTTTTTCTGCTTGATTCAGCCGCGCAGTTGACAGTGAATGCATCGCCTTGCTTGTGATCGCAACTTGACTTGAAACGATTTGATAGTTCTGTTCTTTCCTACGGCCGCGTGCTTCCAGGTTCGCTCGTATTTAACAGATTCGGCCCATGCAGCCCACGGCCGTTTGCTCTATTCTTTCGCTACGCAACCTGAGCTGTGCAGGGTGGCTCCAAAGTGTGACTAATCATCTCGGGCAAGGATCGCGCGGCCTTCAGGGGTTCGCAAACGAATGTCGCATCCGACGTGGATCGGCTGAAGCTCGTTCCACTGCAGTTCCATCCCAGCTCGTGCTCCGGCCCGCGCAACAGCATCCAACAAGTCTTGTACATGTTTCTGGGGCCTTCCCACTCGTAGAGTGTCGCCCGCGTGCAGTAAGATTGACGCGCTGCCGGCGCCCACCTCCGACCTCGCCTCCTGCCCCCACTTGTTCGTCGCATCGTTCACTAATGCGGTCACGGCCATCGGGAAAAGGAATGACAACAGAGGGCAACCTTGAGCAATTCCTGATCGTTGTCGTCGTTGTCTGGAGGCCCGGGGCCAATCAGATACGAAGAAACGGCGATCATTGTAAATGTTAACAAGGAGCACAATCATTTTTTGTGGGACCCCGTACCTCCGCAACGCGGCAATCATCGCGTCCATGTTGGTCGAGTCGAACGCTTTCTTCCAATAAGGGCAACGAACGCAATCTTCCCGTTCTTGGCCGCCGTGGCCGCCTCGATATACTTTCGGACCACGTGGGCCTCATCTGACGTGCCTGGCCCGCGCCTGAACCCGCACTGCGTTGAAGTAAGGCGGCCCTCCGCCCCTCCTCGCTGGACCAGCAATAGGGATGTCAATATTTTGTAAGCCACGCATGATAAACTTATCGGCCTATAACTGTCGCAGCTGTCGATTGCGTCCTTGTTCTCGTAAGTGGCGCTGATTGTGGACTCCTTCCGGTCCTCTGGTCTCGCACCTGTTTCCCAGGAAATGGTGCACAAGTTTGCTAGCCACTGCAAGCCCCCCGGCGTCTGAGCAATCGATTGCCGATAGTCTGCTGGAATGTCGTCCGGACCACTTGCTTCTTCCCATTTCAATGTGGAGACTGTCTTACCAACCTCTTGTGTCGAAAACGGTGCGTCGTCCACTGGTAGTTGGTCTCCGAGCGGGGGTTCGTCGGTCAATGTCGCCGGCCTCACCTTCCATTGAACCTGCTCGAAGAAATCGGCCATGGCGTCAGCTCTTGCAGTACTTTCAACAAGTATCCCATCCAAATTTCTAAGGTGGCCTTGCTTCCGAGGCTTCGGCTGGCAATGCTTTCGTAGTGCGTCCAAGCTGCCTGTAGCAATGGCAGGATCAACCCAATCTGTTTTGTCTTCTTTTGTGGATTTCCCCATTTCCTTGAAAAGGCGCCTCTCTTCCATTCGATTGCATAGGTTCCGCGCGGCACTGCGCTGATCGATCAGATCCAACGTGCGCTGGGATGTCCACGGCTTCCTCTTGTCAGAAACTAGCGGCGGAAGAACTGCTTCAGCAGCGATCGGTGCTGTAAAAACTTTCCCCACAAGATCTTCCCCATGCTTGGCAGTGCAGCTATAGGGGTCGCAGCAAAGGAGGTTCCAGAAAGGCGTCAGCAAAAAGAGACTGAGTTCCAGTGTCCCTGAGAACTGTTTTGTCCTTCCGCTGGACTCGCTGTGGCGGTTGCTCTCCGTCGAGATCTCGTAGTGCACCCGGTTCGAAACGCGCCGCCGAATGTTCCCAAGGCAAGCGCCCGTGAAACGCGCTCTCTCACAAGAACTACTACTACTACTACTACTACTACTACTACTACTACTACTACTACTACTACTACTACTACTACTACTACTACTACTACTACTACTACTATACTACTACTACTACTACTACTACTACGATACTACACTACTACTACTACTACTACTACTACTACTACTACTACTACTACTACTACTACTACTACTACTACTACTACTACTACTACTACTACTAATACGACTTCCTTTGCCGGAACTACTACTGGCACTACTACTACTACTCTTACTATTACTACTACTACTACTACTATTACTACTACTACTACTACTACTACTACTACTACTACTACTACTATTACTACTACTACTACTACTACTACCTTTACTACTACCTTTACTACTACCTTTACTACTACCTTTACTACTACCCCTCCTCCTCCTCCCCCTCCCCCTCCCCCTCCTCCTCTTCCTCCTCCTCCTCCTTCGTCCCCTCCTGCATCCTGCTCCTCCTCCTCCCGCCTCCTCGTCCTGCGCCTGCCCGGCATGCCCCACCCCCCTGGCGTCGGGGTTGCCTGTGGCTCGTGAGATCTCCCTCTGGAGCCCTGCTGGAGACTGCTCGGCACCGAGCTGAATCTCAGCAGGCCTGGGCGGGGGACGCGCCGACAAGTCACGAGGAGGAGGAGGAGGAGGAGCGAGGGAGGAGGAGGAGGAGCGAGGGAGGAGGAGGAGGAGGAGGAGGAGGAGGAGGAGGAGGAGAGGAGGAGGAGGAGGAGGAGGAGGGGGGGAGGTGCGAGGGAGGGAGGAGGAGCGAGGGAGGAGGAGGAGGTGCGAGGGGGGGAGGAGCAGCGAGGGAGGGAGGGAGGGAGGGAGTACGAGGAGGACATGCACCCCCTTGGAAGACCAACGCCGCACGGGCCTGCCATTTCGGCGAGGGCCCCGAGCTTAAAAAGAACCACCCTGCAGCCGTCTGGCGCGAAACCAAGAACGCGAGCAATCATCACCGTACAGCTCAACGAAATACAGAGACCGAGAGGACACGCGAGAGGACACGCGAGAGGACACCGAGAGGACATACGAATCACTGTCAGGTGGATTGGAGAGGACACGCGAGAGGACACGAGACCCTTCCGACGGCCACATTGCCATGTGGAACATAGAGGGCATGGGTCGCGAAACACAGGACACAAGGGTACCCTTGTTTGGGCAGGGTCGACCTACTAATCAAACTCGACTGTATTGTTCTAGACCCCCCTTTCGGAATAACTACCTATACGACCACCCTTCGGGTGACAAGGAGGTTGTGGGGGGGAAGAGGGGGGGGGAACCAACATCTGACTCAATCGATCTCATTATCGATCTCACTTTTTGGGACACCACGGGACACTTGTCGATCTCACTATCGATCCCACTCAACGGGACACCACGGGCCACCACGGGCCACCACGGGACACCTCTCGATCTCACTATCGGTCTCAATATCGATCTCACTCAACGGAACACCACGGGACACCACGGGACACCACGGGACATCTCGGGACACCACATCGATCTCACTATCGATCTCACTATCGATCTCACTCAACGGGACACCACGGGACACCGCGGGACACCTGTCGAACTCAGTATCGCTCTCACTTTTCGGGGCACCACGAGACACTACGGGACACCTCGGGGCACCACATCGACCTCAGTATCGATCTCAGTATCGATCTCACTCAACGGGACACCACGGGACACCACGGGACACCGCGGGACACCGCGAGCCACCGCCGGACTGACGGACGCACGGGGGAGCATCATTTGTCTTGACTTCGCCCTAGCAACGGCGGACACCACGGGACACCACGGGACACCACGGAACACCGCGGGCCACCGCCGGACGGACGGACGGACGGGGGAGAATCATTTGTCTTGACTTCGCCCTAGCAACGGCGGACACTACGGGACACCACGGCACACCGCGGGACACCGCGGGCCACCAGCGGTTGGACGGACGGACGGGGGAGAATCATTTGCCTCGACTTCGCCCTAGCAACGGCGGGTTCTTTCCTCCTCTCGCGCGCCCACGCAGCTTCGCCTCGCCCGCACGCACGACACGAACGAAACGGAACGATTTACCAATTGGGGGTCTCCGTTCCACTGCGATCTCACCCCCCAAACCTCCGATCGCGCCACATCCGGGCAACGGTTGCACTCGTGTTCAGCTGTGGTCATGAACTTAGAATTAGAAGAAATCGTAACAATGAGCTCGACTTTGAAAATGAGCCACCATCGATCCGTGCAGTGTGGCATGTGTTGAAGCTTCTGTTCTTGAGAAAAGATGTAATCTCAAACGAGAACCCTGTTTGTAAAAAGAATCGACTGCCATCCTTCTAATGGTCGCAAGCTTTGAGCCCTATTTTGAAGACGGCCCATGCTCCAGATTGTAGCGCGTAATTGTTGCGATGTTGCAAGACGAATTTGCGTGCTGCTTAAGCAAGAGCCCCACCCTTGCAAGATCGTAAGGAGAGCGTGGGCGCTGTGAAGGCTCCAAGAAATCGTCCAAGAGGCTCTCGAAGGCAAACACTAGACATAATTTTCCTTAAGGGCGCTGACTCGATTTAACATACTGGCCTACTGGCCCTTTCTGGCTTTCGAAAGCCCAAGACAGCGGGAAACGCTTCTCAAGAGGCCCCCAAGACAGCCCAACAAGGCCCCAAGACTGCACAGAGGGGCTCAAAGACGGCGCTACGGGCCCTTAAGGCAGCCCAGGGGGGCCAAAAGAGAGCCTAAACTGCCCCCAAGACGGCCCGAGAGGCCCCAAAGAAGGCTTCAAGAGGAGCCCAAGAAGGAACATTGAACTTGCCTTCACAGCCTTTTCCTACAGGATTGCCTCCAAGACACCCAACACGCCCCCCAGAGGTCCCAGGCCCCCGAGAAGCCTAAGAGACCCCCAAGAGGCATCAGACCACCAAAGGCCTCCCAAACGGACCTAAGAGGCTCTTGAAAGGCCCTCAGGAGGACACGGAAAAGCTGGCGCGGTCGCGGTGCTTGCCGCAGGCAACTGGGTCACAGAAACTGATCTATTGAGCTCGCTCCAGAACGCGAACTGGGCTACGAAATGGCTTGGCCGCCCCGGGCAATATTTCACCTGAGCTACTGTGCGGAAGGCACGTCCCGCGCAATGCCGCAGCAGCGAAGGCGTTTCGCCACATGATAGCACGCATCATATACAATCAGACCTACCTATACGACCACCGTTCGGGTGATGAGGAGGTTGTGGGGGGGAACCAACATCTGACTCAATCGATCTCACTATCGATCCTACTCAACGGGACACCACGGGACACCACGGGACACTTGTCGATCTCACTAGCGATCTCACTCAACGGGACACCACGGGACACCACGGGCCACCACGGCACACCACGGGACACCGCGGGACACCTCTCGACCTCAGTATCGATCTCAGTATCGATCTCACTCAACGGGACACCATAGGACACCACGGGACACCACGGGACGCCACGGAACACCTCGGGACACCACATCGATCTCACTATCGATCTTACTCAACGGGACACTACGGGACACCACGGTACACCTTTCGATCTCACTATCGATCTCACTGTCGATCTCACTTTTTGGGACACCACGGGACACCAAGGGGCACCACATCGATCTCACTATCGATCTCACTCAATGGGACATCATAGGACACCGCGCGACACCTGTCGATGACACTATCGATCTCACTATCGATCTCACTTTTTGGGACACCACGGGACACCTTGGGGCACCACATCGATCTCAGTATCGATCTCAGTATCGATCTCACTCAAGGGGACACCACGGGACACCACGGGACACCTCGGGACACCACGGGACACCGCTAGGGCCACCGCTGGACGGGCGGGCGGGGGAGAATCATTTGTCTTAACTTCGCCCTAGCAACGGCGGTCAGTCCTCTCGCGCGCCCACGCAGACGGGACACCACGGGACACCACGGGCCACCACGGGACACCACGGGACATCGCTAGGGCCACCGCCGGACTGAGGAGAGCCATTTGTCTTGACTTCGCCCTAGAAACGGCGGACACCAAGGGACACCACGGGCCACCACGGGACACCGCTCGATCTTCCGCCGGACGGATGCGAAACATTTGTCTTGACTTCGTCCTAGCAACGGCGGACACCACGGGACACCACGGGCCACCACGGGACACCACGGGACACCGCTAGAGCCACCGCCGGACGGAAGAGAAACATTTGTCTTGACTTCGCCCTAATAACGGCGGACACCACGGGCCACCACGGGCCACCACGGGACACCGCTAGAGCCACCGCCGGACGGAGGAGAACCATTTGTCTTGACTTCGCCCTAGCAACGGCGGGTTCATTCCTCTCGCGCGCCCACGCAGCTTCGCCTCGCCCGCACGCGCGACACGAACGAAACGAAACGAGTTCCTGGTTGGAAATCTCCGTTCCACTGCGATCTCACCCCCCCAACCTCCGATGCCAGAAGATCACCCCTCAAGAGCACGAGACCCTCCGTCGGCCACAACAACCAAAGCATTCAGGGGTGCCCTGCCTCAGGACGCACAAGAACGCCCAACTGACACGAAGAACACCAAGGAAGCCTCCCCGAGCCGACCTTCTTCTTATACGAGCTCAAGACTTCTTTGAAACCACCTAACGCGCGTACACCCTGCGAAATGCTTAAGAAATCATGGGTTAAGAAATTCATAGTCTCAGAAACCCAACATTTATATTAAAATCTTGGGATTTACATTGAAACACTAAGAATAATCGAGACTCTGGCCGAAATCTGGAGTTTTCTTAAGCATCGCCTAAGGTGTATGTGGCTGGGTGGGTGGGGGGGTTCGTTGGCACATACCATAACACGTTGCGCGCACTACGAGCAGCACACCTGTGCGCTGAACAACAGGCGATGCTGCAACGGATGTGGGTGAAGCTGAGGGCGTTATGTTATCTACTGGGTGGGCGGGTGGGTCGGAGGCCACGTAACGCGCGTTATGTGTTCGAGTGAGAAACTTAAGCTCTACTCGGTCCGACTGTGGAACTACAACCGCTTGGACCATCGTTTGGAGTCCCGAAGCGGTGCGGTGACAGACCGTGCGGTGACCTCGGAAACCCAAGAGACCTCACCGCACGGTCCGTCACCGCACGGTCTTGGGACCCTGGAGGCCCCTGTCGCCCGAGACGTCCTCGGAGAGGGACTCGAGTCTCAAAATCGTGCGGTGACCCCGAATCTCCACCGACTCACCACACGGTGTGCTCACCACTGAGTGTCGTTTATCCGATCCCCATCCCCAGCGGCGTGGCCTGGGCCCCACTGGCCGATTTACCCCCCCAGATGGGGATATAAGCCGTCCCCTTTGGGTTTCGAGGGGCGCACGGTGTGGTCACCACCCCGTTTGGGGGCCCCCGGCATCGTCGCAACGACTCATCAGCGGCTTCAGCGCTCGGGTCCAGCGGCGCTCCAGGGAGGGAGGCGAGAGGGGCCGGGGCCGCTCAACAGCGGCGGGGGTTTCGCAGAAGCCCTCGGGCATTCTAGTACGCCGCCTGTGGATCCGAAGATAAATCAGAAAGCTTCTCGGAAGGTCAGAGACCCTTCTACCTCTCCTCCTCCTCCTCCTTTTC